AAACATATTCCTTAAGGCACAATGATCATAGGTGACCTTTACCCATAACACTACAAGTGATAGGTCTCATACTGTAAAAAGCCAGTAATTTCTGCTATCCACAGATTTCAAAATTGGTCTGTTTGTCTCTTAGGAAAAATGTATGCTTTGCTTTTGGCAGAAGTCCCAGAACTGGTAGGATTTTCAGTGCTTCTGTCATGCTATGAGCCACAGTTGCCAAGATCTTAATTTTAAATTTTAATACTATTATAGACAAAAAACACTGTGCATAATTAAAGTAATTTTTACAATTCATTACTGCATAAAAATAAGGAATTTAAATCTTTTGGTATTAAAAAACTAATGATAAAAAAGATAGAAATGATTATCATAGCGTAAAAGAAGCAATTTATACTTTTTAAGGTAAATGACATGAGCATACTTATCTTAATCATAGATGTGGATATTTGGATCAAAAAATGTTACATGTATATCATTAAAATCTGTAAAAGCAACAATATGTTAATTACAGTATTACAAGCATTTTATTTCTAAAAAACAATGCTGATATTAAAAGTATATAAAACCATGCATCCCTTTATAGCTACATTGCAAAATTACAGGCATCTGCTCTAACTAGAGATCTCAACTTAGTTTCATTTTGCTTTCTGTATTGACATTTGTTTATGGTTGAAGAAATATCTCGAGTATTATGTTTGATAAGAGGCTCTTACCTTAATGTAAAGTTGCCATCCCTAATACGGATGCTACTCAATAGCCTGGAAATTGCGTGCAGGTTCCAATTACTGACTCTATTTCATACTGGAACAGAAAAGTGAACTACTTGCTGCAATACAAGGTGTTTATTGACTAAACGAGCCTTTGCTATGGTACAACTGAAGGTACGCAGCCAGAGCTTTACTACCACTGAAAAATAAGCTCTGTGAACAATGATTTCATTAGGTTAATACTAAACCTCATTTTGTCTCTGTGCTCAGTGAAATTGGTGGGGTAATGGTAAGGGTAACAGGAATGGTACCAAAGAAAATGCAGACTTGAGATACAAGGGAAAGCTTTTCTTTTATACCTTCTCAGTGCTAGCAGCCTTTCTTCAGTGTTGTCCAGGGTACTTTAAATGATGTTCTTTTAAGAACAGATTTCAAGCCATTATGAATCTCACGTTTCAGCCTTCTTCAGTTAAAACTATCAAATATCTCTAACAGGAGTACTAAGTAAAACAGGGTACGAAAGACAGCACTGTTAGTACAATCACTGTACAGAGTGGCCAGGGCACTCAGTAACCTTTTACAGATGGCATTTAATGCAATAGAGTTCACAATTTAGCTTTTTAGATTAGATTAATACTTGAATGCATCTGATCTGCCTGAAAAAGAGGCAGGCAAGTGAGACGCCACAAAGCTGGCAAAGGAGGAAAAAGAGAGACAGCTAGAAGAAAAAAAATAGCAGTTTCAAATTATGTCATTTTCTTTTGCCACAAGAACTTAAGTATCCCACAACCACAAGGTTATTTTCCTCCCACAAAATCATCCCTCATTTTCTATCATAAACATCCAATGACTTGGCTGATACTTTTGACTTGGGCCCTGATGTTGCACATTTGCATATACATTTAAATTTACTCACATGAGTAGCATCATGGGCTGCAATAAGACAATTCATCAAATGTGTAAATCTTTTAGGATCGCTGGCTTTGTTTTGCTAAGGTGAAGCAGGATGTTAAAATAACTTTGTTCCTGAAAGTTTAACAATGAACTTCACAGTGGCAGGAAGAAGAAAGGAACCAAGCATTTCACAGACTCCTCCAAAGAAGCCGAAATTAGTTTTTAAAAGATGCACTGAAAATGCTAACAGAAATAATCTTTGCTCTGCTCTGTCTCTTCATAGTGCAAACAGAAGTTGTCCACATTCTGAAATAGAGAATTTTCGAAAATTAAAATTAATAATTTCAAACACATTATTCTCTGTCATATGCTGTGCCAAACTGTGCATTATCAACTTCTGATGTGCTTCTTTGAATGATTCATGGAACACCTAACATCACAGTATCTCACTGATATACAACCTGTTGGGATTTATTGACATTTTAACATTTCAAAAAGTAAATAACCTAATGTTATGCGCATATGATGTCCTGAACACCTCGAGTACTGTGTTCAGTTTTGGGCACCTCAGTACAAGAAAGACATCAAGGTGCTGGAGAGAGAGTGCAGAGAAGGGCAACAAAGCTGGTGAAAGGCCTAGAGAATAAGTCTGATGAAGAGCGGCCGAGGGAACTGGGGCTGTTTAGTCTTAAGAAAAGGAGGCTGAGGGGAGACCTTATTGCTCTCTACATCTGCCTGAGAGGACACTGTAGAGAGGCAGGTGCTGGTCTCTTCTCACAGGTAATTAACGATAGAACAAGAGGGGATGGACTCAAGCTGCAGCAGGGTGGGTTTAGGCCTGACATTAGGAAACATTTTTTCACCGAAAGGGCTGTCAGGCATTGGAATAGGCTGCCCGGGGAGGTGGTTGAGTCACCATCCCTCAATGTGTTTAAAGGTCGTTTAGATGTGGTGCTTGGAGATATGGTTTAGGGGTGTACTTGGTAGAGTAGGGTTGATGGTTGGACTCGATGATCTCAAAGGTCTTTTCCAACCTGAATGATTCTGTGATTCTATGATCTCAGTACTGCAACACATTTTGTAAAACCGAGGCTTACAACACCTGGTATCATGGGGGATTCTAACACAACATTCAATTCTGATTCTGTCTATACATAACCTCTTTCCATATGGGAACATGTACATACTGAAAAATTAGTTATGCACTAGAAAACCTACAGCCATCTCATATTACTGCTTTTTAGCTCTGGAGGATTCGCGAAATGGCATTTCTGTGGATTTGAGGCGTACTGATTCATGAAAAAGTTTGGTATCACTAGCACTAAAGGTCTCTCTGAGCTGTAATAAGGTGGGGGTGTGGTTTTTTTGTGGTTTGTTGTTGTTGTTTTGTTAAATATATATATAATAAAAGTTTTCTGTCTGGTTTCTTATATATTTATATAGCCATATCTATCTATCTATCTATCTATCTATATATCTCCTAATACCACTTTGTGAGAGCTTTCTACAGATGGGATCAATGAGAAATAAAATCACTGGATGTCAGTGGTGGAAGCTGTCTCCTAAATCCTTGACAGAACCACATGACTCTCTTTCCTGCTTTTCACAATCTTTCAGGATCGTCCTTCTCAATTAAAAGCCCAAGTCAGAATCCAGCTTATATTGTTTCAAACTATTTGATAGAAAGTCTCCCCTCAAAAGGCAGACAATTATATGCTCATAATTCATGAACAGAATTATCCACTAATCCTAAGTAACACTGTTGTTCATTATTTTCACTTGAAAATTAAGTATATAAAGCACTAGAAAAGCAAATTTAAAAGTAAAAAAAGGGAACTATACTTTTTCTACTTAGAACACCACAATGTATTTACCAAGGTATTACTTAGCTGTGACTAAATCATATAAAGTATTTACAGCTAAAGAGTTTTTGATTACTGCAATGTTTGGGATGAGCTATTAGATTATAAAGAAATACTAAAGCTATGTGTTGCACATGACAGACCCAGCTATAGGAGATGTATCTATTGGGTTTCCCCTTTTAAATGAGATATGTGAGTTCCCAATGTCTATATAAAAGAAGTCTTTGAGTTCAGTAGGTTTACTCTATCAAAAACAGGAAACGGGGTATTAGCAGCCTCCAGGACTCCAAGGAATGGAGCAGCTTAAACTTCCACTTTAGTCAACAGAAATTATGGCTAGATAGATGACAGTAAAGAGCATGGAGAATGAGTCTTAAAAGTTGTTGCAAACAACTACTGCCTATTTTCTTACCAGAGTACATCAGCAGGATGCATCTCATGAGTAATACACTTCAGCAGTAGCAAGTATTTGCAGAAATGTTTTCAATTAATCAATTTAGGTTGTCATAAAATTGAAAAATAAAACACATCAACATTTGCATGAGAATCAATGAACATTTGAAGATAGTGTCAACTTGAACGCATAACCTTTCCACCATTACAGCACTTATGAGTATAATGCATTTTGTAACTACTGAATTAAAATTGATATTACACTGAACTAAGTGTCTCTCAAAAAGCCAGTTACAAATTGCTTTGGTCTATTTGCAGCTTAATTTATCACTAAAATAGACAATTATCAAGGAAACCTGATAAAAGTTTAAAACTGATTGTGAAAAAGAATGTGCATTCACTTATTAGTATTCTCTTTGTATATGGTATTATCACATAAAAGAATACACTTAATAATAATAAATAAATGCTTTATTCAATTAAATTGGTGCAATATTATCTTCACTCTGTTAAAATCAACTTTGAAAAGAGCTTGATCCTGTTGGTCCTATTTCCTAGTGGTATGTAGAGCCTTCTTTTACATTTTATGACAATTTGAACATATTACAATCAAACCATCCAAACACTACTAGAAATTAAGAAAACAACAGACAGACCAGTTAACCAATAAGATTCCAAGTTTGACATGGTATATGAGCTCCATTGTCTAACTGAGAATATTACTCAAATATTAAAAAAATATTTCCTGAAAACTGTGGAACAAAGAGGAAATGTTAGAGATATAACAGGAGAATAGAAAGAAAACCAACAAATCATTGTATTCAAAATTGTAGTCAGTTATTTTCAAAAGGTGTTGCCTCTTCACTCTATTATCGCTTTTTGTATTTCAGAATTTCTATCATTCTAAGTTTCTTAGAGAAATATGGTTCTTTGTGTTCATAAACCTCCAATAAAACAGTATTATCTCCTTTGTTAGAGCAAAGGAAAATAATATAGTCTATACAGCTGGTGGTCCTACATAGCCTGTCAATGTCATATTACACTGATTGGTGGTTCTAAAACAGATGCATCGAGTTTCTGAAATAGCGTCAGAATATGGAAAGTTCTGAGGTGGTTTCTACTCTTGTTGTTAACGATGTGATATTTACAACAACAAACAAACTCCTGACTTAGCTTCACCTCCGTTTGCATAACCCCCAGAATCTACTCTGTTAGGATCATTCAGTTCTTCAAACAGTCCCGTTTCAATAATTTCTTCCTGCCAGGGTATAGGGACAGCACCTGTTGCAAACTTTTTGAAGAACTTCTTGTCTTTGTCATCAAACTCAATTCCTCGTATTTCAGAGAAGTCAGCAATGTCTGCAACATCTTTGGCATAGACAACTGATGGGTCTGGCACAAATGGAGGGTCAATAAGGTTTGCCTCTAGCCTGTGGAAATTTACTGTTTTGAAGAAACTATGTTTTCTTGGGTCATCACCTTCATTTCTGCAATAAAGCAAAAGTTTGTTAATCAGTGTGATATTTTGCTCTCAGATAGATACAGGTGTGTCTGTGTTTTGTACATGAGCGTAATTAATAGTTAGGAGGAGATATATCCCTAGATACATGGCTATATCTGTAGATACATGTCTATATGTCTCTCATAAACTGAAATTCCTTTTTTCATAACCAAAGATCACTGCATTGCACAATATAAGAAAACAGAGAGAAGCAGAAAACATCCTGATCCCATTATTCATTTCTCTGCCTCTCAGGGTAACTCAGTCTGGGCAAGGTGCCACGAAGAAATTACAGTGCTGCTTCTGGCAGTGCACTGAGAGACCCATATCCAAAGATACACTTTAACCAGAACTGAAGATAAAGCAGGATGGGGAAGAGAAGTATTGGATTTACTGTCCAGCAATGAAAGTCCAATGGTTGGCTCTACATTAACTATGACAAGAATATCTATTAAATTCCAGACTGGGGAGCACTGGGTTAACACATCTAGGGACTGACTCTGAGGAACAACAGTGAATGGGAAACGTGAGAAATGACATTTCAGGTTTTATCTTAATTCAAAGCAGTTATGCTTTTACATCATAAAACTCAGTTATGTGGTTGCTCTAATAAACACTCCCAGTTTCAGTAAGTCTGTTCATTCAAACTAATTACTCTTATAAATGAACAAAGATTTTAAGCAAGAGATTCACAAATTATGACGTTAGCAACAGTACATGTGCCACTGTCACAAACACAATCCTTTATTAATATTGTTAAAAGCCAATAATAAAATCCAGAAAGGACTAAAATCATTGTAAATACAAGTTTTAAGTATATCTTACAAAAACCTGCAGATCTCAGGGAGAACTTTTGCTTGTAAAAGAAACAGTGAATTGTTTCACTGTAGACCCAGAGAGACTTGTAGGATATTCTGATGATGAGAATAATCTGAGCCTCAAATGTGTGCTCATTAAAGCATGACCAAGGATCACAGCTTTTGAACTGTGCCCCTAGCATCAAGGCATGCAAAGTTTGAGTTTTGAATTCTAGTGAAAGGAGGTGGAAAGAGGACCACTATATTTTCTACACCTCTGCATTCTTTAACGTGTTTCGGATGCACTGGTCTTGAAAATGGTAACACAGAAAAAACAAATTTGTCTGTTTTTTTGCCTCAGGAAATTGTAGTTCCTAACATGTTGCTTTTTTCTTTTCCCACTTTCTTACAAAATCATACACTTATCAAAGTGTAAGCCCTCATGTATTTCTAGCCAAAGTTCTACGAAGAAAATGTAATGCAAATCTTTGGCAAGTCTCACAATCATCTCCTAACTTAACTAGCTAGTGATAACCACATACTTGAGCAGCCCTCGAGCCTGATGTGATTTATTTACCTTCACTTTAAGCTTGAAGTGCATTAGAGTGGCTGTTCAAATTAACTAGTGTCCTGGGACACTAATAGTGGGCTAGTAGTGCTGACAATCCTTCTAGGCAGATGGACTTACAAAAATGTCACTTTATTTTGCTTTTCCTTTCTGTAACATAAACCAAAAAGCACTTGAAGCTGGTGAAGGCTCCAGAATGGATTGCTGCAGTTTCTCCCCCGATGTATTTTCTGACACCACCAAAACCATAAAAAGTTTAAAACCATAAAGCTACAGGAACGCCATCTACTGGAACCAACTGAGGCATCTTCCAACTAGTTGGGAGATGAGATTGAGCTCTTCCTCTGTGAACTGCATGTTTACGTAACTTAAATAGAAAGAGCAAATGAACTAATCTAAACTCTGTCAATTTTATATTCCTCCATTAAAAATAATAAAAAATCACTTTACAGATTTGGGATTTGAGATGACAAATCCAAAAAAGCTTGAGTGGAGAAAAAAAGATTACATCTTTCCCAAGTTAGCCAGTGACACTGAGTCTTCAATAAAAAAGGGGAGAATTTTAAAAGGTCAGGTGTACAAAGTAAAGCTATCCTTGAGCAGCTTTAACTTATGCAACAGGCACTTATGTAGATAACCCAAGGTCTTGCTGTCCTTAGTAGAATTACAGTGCTAATCTTTACATAAGGATGAGCTGTCCTGAATAGTATTGCCCTGTTTAAGAGGTACATGCAGGCTTTTATTCTGTATCATGCCCAGGCATGGTATATATCCTATCATTTTCCTTCTCTAAGTATGACACATAAGAGTAAGCACATCTTAAATAGCAGAAAATTGAAAATAATCTGTGCAATTACCTTTCTGTGTACATTTCTACCATTGCTGAGAAATAATGCAACAGTAAGCAGACAGAATGATTGTAAATGGCACCCTTGGCAAAAGGAATGTGGTTACAGTAAGTGAATAGTCTGTTGCTGGTTTTACTCGAGACTCACTGAATGAACTTGATCAAGTCACTCAGAATCTCTAAATTTCATTTTCCCCTACTCTGAAATTTGTATACTTTACAAAATGCTGTAAGACTAAATGTCTGCAAAGCATGCTGACATGGAAGGTAGAATGCTCTAAATGTTTTTATATTAAATTTATTTTTAAAATAAGCTTTTTAAACATATTAAAATAATATGGATTTTATATCAAACATACTCTATGTGCTGTTGAAAATATATATTTTTTTCTGCAGCCTTCCAGAGTTGTTGGGAAAACTCATCAGGCACAAAGAGTAGTTGTCTTCATTTAGCACTGGAATAATAAGAATATGTATATTAATGATATATTATCTTTCATTAAAGTTGAATTTCAGGCAAATTTGTGACTCAACATTTTGCCAAATTATTCCTCATTGTTATGAAATATAAATTTAGAAGACTATGTGCATTTTCATTAAGTCCCTGTGTTTATTCCACCTTTAGATTGGAAAAGCACCTGATACATATATTTGTATTCACAGGCGATTCAAAAGACAGGTACTATCAGTTTCCTATTCATTTTTTACATTTGTATTATATTTCTTTTACTTTGTCTATATTGCAAGTGTAGATCCCCAATCTGCCTCATTAGAAATGCACTACATATTTTTTTTATATATATACACACACACACGTATCAGAAGGATCAGAGACATTACAAGTTAAATATTAAAATGCTTAGCTTTCCAATTTTCTTCTTATTGAACAGCTACTTGAATTTGCTAAGTCAGGGACACATCCCTCAGTCTTCATCAACCCAAAGCCACCTCTGAAGTCCCCAAAAATGTTTTGCTTTACAAGAACCTTCCTCCCTTTTCTCCCTGGGATGAGTCAGGAAGAACCTCTACAAGGGTTTTTTTTAAGCACTTGAGTAAAGCAGAGGGGTTAAGGTCACTAAGAAGCCAATGACGCAACCTTGCAAGCTAGATATCTGCAGGCAAGAGAATCCACATTGCAGATTTGGATTTTTGCCCACATCATGCCAGTAAGTGATACAGCCTAAGATTCTGCATTCAGTCTGCATTAGTATAGATGCAAGTATCTACCTGAATATTGTTTTCCTTTAGGAAAGAAAATGCAAGAGAAATGGGCTGCTCCCTTCTCCCGAAACTATATAGAGTCCAACCCCACAAAATATCAAGAACTGAACTCCTATGACTGGTTTGGGGTGAGAATGGACAATCACACTACTGCAACAAAATTCCTTATTTCCGTATTATCTTCAAAACTTTTCACCTCTCTCTTCCTAGAAGTGAAAGGGAAAATTCAGTACTCTGTAGAAAGTCAAGATCTAACCTCGTTTTGTGTAATATGTAAAATAACAATATTGTTTGCAGCTTTAATCTGGCTTTTACTGAGTTTGAGAAGTAAGTCATACCTGCTTCCTAAACGATTCTCTACTTTCTTAGCCAAAAACAGTCGGCAAATGTCTTTCGCTTCCTCTGTAAAGTTGGCATGTTCAAATTTCACCTCATCTTCCAGAGTTCTTCTTTTAACCTCATCCTTACCGACCTTTTCCTTGAAATCCTTGAATGGTGTTCGCCCAGCAACCATCTCATAAATACTACACCCCATAGCAAACCAGTCCACAGGATAGCTGTAATCTTCTTCCTTCAGGATTTCCGGAGCCATATAACCGTTTGTCCCAGCCTATTGCAAACATACAGACAGATTTACTATACATTGCCAGTAACAAAATGCAGACAATTAAACAGACTAGTCTACAATTCTTCCAAAATATTAGTAATACAACTGATATATCTTCTATCTAGAAACTGTATAATTGACTTTTTTTTAATCAAGAAACTGAATTATAACTCTGTTTTAGCACATGGACTATATATGTCTTTAATCATCTTAGTGTATGGAAAAAACTGTCTTAAACATGCTCTTCAAAGGTGGAATGTCTGTGCAATTTCTACCTAAAAGTGGTTTCTTTTTAAATTAATGTTCAGCTTGCTTTCTTCTTCCCTATTAATGTTTCTCCTGTTGAAGACAGTGTTGTTAGCTTTGCCCTGTGAACACAACTAGCAATCAATTTGAAAATACTAAAAAAACAGAAGACAAAAATCAGACAACCAACCACCTATTCCCTCCCTGTTCAGTGGTTATAACTGGTCCAACACAGGGGTCTGCTGCCAATGACAGAATTCTCATCAAGCCAGTAGCTAAGCTGCATGAGGAAGTTCTCATCCACACTCCCTGTTGGTTTCTGGAAGGAAGTACTACCATCAAGGGCCAAGAAAACCTCTTAATATCATTGTAAGAAAGTAAAATCATGAAAATTATAATTAGTAAATTACACGCATTCAGGTGAACAAACAAGTTCGTATTTCCTAAACGAAAAAAGCTCTCTAGCTCTCTGAATAAAAACTACTGCTATATACAGTACTATTGGACCCTTCTCCAAGAGAAGAAGTGACCGCTTTTTCAGAGAGGAATCTGCCTGCTTCCTTCCCAGATCAGGCCTAGCACATTCACCTTGGGGGACAGACCACACAGCGTTCAAAATAGCTCCTGCTGCCTCTCTCTCTAGGGAGCTCATTTACCTGGGAGGGAAGAGGGGAGGTCAACCTCTCACCTTCTGCTGCGCTGTCACATGACTGAGGGTATGAGATTTCAATTGAAACAGCATTCCCTAAGCTGACCCAACTTTTCCTGCCACATCTGATGCTGTATTTTTATGTATTTACTAGATTCAGCTAACAGTGATAACTATGTCAGAAATTGCTTGAACCTCTTTTATATCTTTTTGAAATACTGGGGCTGATAATAGAATCATTAGGTTGGAAGAGACCCCTAAGACCATCAATTCCAACTGTCAGCCCAGCACCACCATGTCCACTAAACCACGTCCTGAAGTGCCACATCTACACGGTTTTTTGAACACATTCCAAGGATGGTGACTCCACCACTTCCCTGGGCAGCTTGTTCCAGTGCTTGACCACTGTTTCAGTAAAGAAATTTTTCCTAATATCCAATCTAAATCTCCCCTGGTGCAACTTGAGGCCATATCCTCTCATCCTGTCACTAGTTACTTGGGAGAAGAGATCGACCCCCACCTCACTACAACCCCCTTTCAGGTAGTCACAGAGAGAGATATGGTCTCCCCTCAGCCTCCTCTTCTCCAGACTAAACAACCCCAGTTCCCTCAGCCGCTCCTCGTAAGACCTGTTCTCCAGACCCTTCACCAGCTTTGCCCTTCTCTGGACACGCTCCAGCATTTCCATGTCTGTCTTGCAGTGAGGAGCCCAAAACTGCACACAGTATTGGAGGCGTGCCCTCACCAGTGCCAAGTACAGGAGGGGCACGATCACTTCCCTACTCCTGCTGGCCACGCCATTTCTGATACAGGCCAGGATGCTGTTGGCCTTCTTGCCCACCTGGGCACATGGCCGGCTCATGTTCAGCCAGGTGTTGACCAGCACCCCCAGGTCCTTTTCTGCCGGGCAGCTTTCCAGCCACTCATCCCCAAGCCTGTAGCGCTGCCTGGGGTTGTTGTGACCCAAGTGCAGGATCCAGCACTTGGCCTTGTTCAGCCTCATAGCATCGGCCTCAGCCCATCGATCCAGCCTGTCCAGGTCCCTCTGCAGAGCCTTCCTACCCTTGAGCAGATCAACACTCCCACCCAATTTAGTGTCATCAGCAAACTTAATGAGGGAGCACTCAATCCCCTCATCCAGATCATCAATAAAGATGTTAAACAAGACAGCACCGAGCACTGGGGGACACCACTTGTGACAAGCCGCCAGCTGGACTGAACTCCACTCACCACAACTCTCTGTGCCTGGCCGTCCAGCCAGTTTTTAACCCAGCATAGAATACACCTGGCCATGAGCAGCCAGCTTTCCTAGCAGAATGCTGTGGGAGACAGTGTCAAAGGCTTTACTAAAGTCCAGGTAGATAATGATGTATTAGCAGTATTATAATTTAAAATGAAAAATTATGTTTGTGCAAAATCCCACTACAGGTTATTCAAGATGGTCATTACTACTGCTACCAGAACACAAGCAGTGACAGAGATTCAGTCCAAAGCAAAACAGTTAGAAAAAGGTAACTAAAACTAGAGCTCATTTGGGAAATTCTATTTGTAAAAAGCAGAGCTCCTCAGATTAATTTTATTTTATGGGGTTTGGGTAACTCCTCTAATTTTTGCAACTTTAGGCATAGTGTTTCCGAGTCTCCCTACAAACTTCAGCGCATGCCGCTATACATTATGGAATATACTCTACTGTAAACAATGTGTGCAAGAGGGAACATCTCAGCATCAACTACAACATAAGCCTAACAGACAGAAAATGAAATCCAGTTTGTTTTCCCTCTTTGTATTTTTTTTTTACTTTTAGAGATATGGAGTAAAATCCTCCATTTGGTTGAAAAACAGAAATGAGAAGAACAAAAACATCAGCCAGGTTGAAAGCAAAAGAAAAGGTTAAAAGTGAACTGTTGTCTCTCACTAAAACCACAAAAGTACAGAGGAGCCATAGTGGCATTGCAGCAGCTGACATCATTCCACAGGTAATTTGTACTGTTTGCATTTAATTTCCCTAAGTAAAAGTTAATATTGAAATATATCCTGACAGTATTACATTTTTATGTACAATTACTGCTCCATTCAAAAAAGGGGTACAAGCTCTCAAATACGGACCAAAGAACCCAGATCCATCTGGTCTCAGAAGATCATGAACACTGGAAGGGAGAGAAGGGGCTGAAAGCAGTAGAGAAAGCTTGGTACAAAAGGATGCACACAGAACTCATTGTGGGTTAGTGAACACAGACACTAAATAGGTTTCTGGAATTTTTTTTTGGTGTTTTTTTTGGTTTTTTTTTTTTTTTTTTTTTTAACCTTCTGGGAAGCAATAAACATTCTTACTTTTACTGAGATGAAGCTGGGGCACTAATGCCTTGAAGAACTTATGAGTCATATCATCACCACAGTGTACCCTGACAGCGCAGTATGATCTTTCTGATAAGATATTACTTCGCTGCAAATTAGCATCATCATATGGGAACTGGATAAATCTGACATGGAAAAGTCAGAATTCTGCGATCATAAATGCGTCTCAAGGCAGCTCCTTTCAGACTGCCTCTCCTTCCTTCCACTTCTGTTCTTTCTTCCATAGTTATTTTTTCAAAAGAAACAGTTGTCAAGTAACTTCAGTCTCTTTCATGTGCATTTTCCACATAACCTTCAGCAAGTCACACCATACAGAACACCGTGCTTTAAAGTGGTACTCGTGTTTCTCAAGAACAGAGAAAGCAAGACCATGATCACAGACCAAGAACAGTGCATAACCACTATTCAATAGAAAATAGAGATGGATCAACAACAGCGTCCCCTTCAGATTGAAGTGAAAGACTGTGGATGACGTTACTGTGAACAAGAATTAAACAGCAAAATTCTAAAGCAGTAGCACCGAAATCTTTTGAGCTGTCATTGAGCTGATTCAGCTCAATCCAAGAGAAGTCTAGAAACATACTGATCCTCTGACATGTCAAACCATTCCAATTCAGAATTCTGAGAGTGCTGTTTTGCTCATGGAATTTCATCAAACTTGAACCTAATCTTAAACCAAACCTCTCCCAATTCTGAAGCTTTCCTATGATTCATAATGAAGGAACAGACTGAGAATGAGGAATCTAAACCTAATCTCATAACCCCTGAGACTCAAAATCCACTTAAACATTACCATTTTACAGCAGAAACAGAATACATTTCACAAGTAGTCAGCAGTGATGTTTAAGGGGGAAGAAACATATAAACAAGAAACATATAAACAAGGAGGGGAAGAAATACATAAATCTCTGCAATCTTTATTAAAACAGAAATTTTAAGAAATGAAGAAAAGAGCTTAAATTTTAGTCTTTTCCACCTATTTCTACATATGTGGAGCTTTGGCAAAATCATTTGGGAAGAAAGATGATAAAGCTATAAGCATTTGCTGTATTAGGGAATACAAAAAAAGGAATTATTCAACCCCTGGAACGGGAAGAACATACATGTTTCAAACGAAGATTTAATTCTATCTTTGGGGAGTAGATAGCATCAGAGGGAAGCTAAAAACTAACATCCCTCCACTAATCATTATGGAGAACAAGATGTCGAAAATCAGATCCTCTTTCAAGCAGAAGAGATCCTGTGGCACCATGAAAGGCAGCCTCAATGACTCAGGAGAGGTTTATTTAAGCAGGTAAAACAGAAGCTTAGTGAAGGGGGCTTTTAAACTGTACAACTCTCACTAGCAGTAGAGATTTGAGCAGCAAAAAATATGGTATTAGGTGGAAAATATATTCACTGATTCCCAAAGCAAAAGTGAACCAGAGTAATGAATTAAGTTACACTCAGCAGTATATATACTGTAAATTATACTTACATGTATAAAGGAAAAAAAAAGAACAGAAAACAATGGAGTTAAAAGATAACACAAAAAAGATAAATGCATTATTTTTGAGACAGGGTCTATTTTCCATGGGTCGGTACTGAATATTTAATTCAGTTAGAATTATCTGACCGTGCCTCAGAATAGATACCTCCAGGTATGGGTTACTGGTATGTCTATCACACAAAAAATCATTAGGTTTGTATAATTTTGTAGTTGTTTTCGCTCAATACAATTTAACAGTAAATTCAGAAGTTGTGTATTAACTGA